AATTTTAAAAAGGGAAACATAACTTTAACGAACGGGCGCCTTAGTCAGACACAAAAAGAAAAATGAAATGTGTGTGTGTGTCCTAACGTCAAGGTCATTATCCCCAGAATACTTGGATTTCTGGGAACACTAAAAAGCTCAATCAGGTGCGCGAGGGGTAAATGGGACACTTACTAGTTTATCAGTTTTAAATATTGATCCAGTGACCGTATTATGTTAAAAATGGGAAAAGCAGTGTATATTCTTTGCTCAGAATAATTGTATAAAGAACCCTCTTACAAATTATTCAAAATATCTTCAGAACTAATGATTCAGTTCTGAAGAAAATGAAAAAAGAAAATGCTGTTTTATATAGACCACTGTCTAATTCTGCAAAAGTAACACATATATCGTTATTTCAAATAACACTACAACTATCCACATCACCGGATGGGCGGCACAGATCACGTGTTGATTCTATGTGTGACGTTCATCTGTCAATCAATTAATCAGACTGTACAGTTTTGTGCCAATGGTTATTCAACACATTTTTTAAAAACAAAAACAAAATTCCAAAAAACAATAAAAGATAACGTTAAACAAGTCAGAGTGTTATAGAATTAAGAGCAAGAATCAACTGAGAAAAACATAGTAGAGAGAGAAAAAAAAATTGAAAGCAGCACAATGATCCTAGTTTTAATGAAAATATTTGATGCGAAAGAATTTTCTCTCGTCTAAAAGTGTGCAAAATTCCTTTCCAACGAAATAATCTAAAACTCATTAAGTCACCCAGCAAAAAGCAGTTGATATGGACACCGGCTGTGCTTAATGATCCTAATATCGTTTCAATATAATGACTTTGTCAATATCATGCTGCTACATCTATTGATAACGTTTCACAATGGTATATAATAAACCAATATTGCTTAGTATGCTCTAAGTATTATACCTCAGTGTACAACTACATGTACAGCTTTTGAATACAAAATCAATATTTTTGAATCTACAATAATTTGAAAGGAATTGTTTAAAATTATCTATCAGAGTAATATAAATGTTCTACTTCTCTTTTTCAATTAAATTTTGTGACTAGATATTGTTTTAGATATATTGCACTACCTATTTAATGCATTCAGATCGGATTTAAGTGGAATATGTAAACTTTCTTTTCATAAGAAAATTATTCAAAAGAAACTAAAGTATACTAAAGTTTGATATGTTATAATCATTTTGCAGGTTAAAGTCATATTTAATAATTAAAAAAAAAAAAAAACTGTGTTTTTAAGAAATTTAATTCGGAATATTTTCATTTTAATATTTTATTGATTTTGGCATATGGAAATATAATTATCATTTACCATATAGAGGTATGCTTAATTCAAAAGAATATAGTTCTAAATATAGTTTGACACATTTAAAACGAATATCGGATTATGTTTAGGAAACTAGTTATATATGCTGAATAAAATATACCACAAATTCAAACGATTGTTATTATTTATTTGGCAATGAATGCAAAATGAATGCGTGAGTGTTTATAACATCACCCTTTAAAACAGGGGTGAGCAGACTTTTTTTTCCAGGGTACGGGCTACTGCTAATTTTTTCAAGGTGTCGCGGTCCTCAAGGGCATAGATGTAGTGAGCTATAAAACGAATTATATAATACAGGGGGATCTCCATTTTACTAACCTATGTTTTCCGAATTTCTCTATTTAGCGAACTTTTTCCTGGAACCAAGAACATTTTATGATTTTCTTCCGTAAAATACGCACCAAATAGCGAGGAACATTTTTTATTCAACGAAATTTTCTATCAAGATACGATTTTATTCCTCCGCATTTTTTAAAATACCGTATTTACTCGAATCTAACCCGCACTTTTTTCCAAATGTTAATGCTACTGAAAATCGGGTGCGGCTTAGATTCAAAGGTACAAATTTTTTGGAAGGGGTATTTAGAGCAATTACCCAACTTCATGCATGTATTTATAATACTGATAAAATAACTAACTATTCACTCCTCTTTTATTAGTTTTCCTCTTAAATTTATTTTAATTTCTTAAAACTGCATATCGATAGAACATTTTATATAGAGTATTTTTCAATTTTCACAAAATCTTGTTGAGAATTTGGGGGACAACTTTGTATCGATGGTGGCTTAAATTCGAATAAATATGGTATTACTAGAACTTCGTATGATGGAATGATTATTAGATCTTAATAAAGACTATTGGCCAGTCGATCGCGATCGACTTAATGCCCACTTCAGCTTTAAAGCAACACGAGAGCTGTCGGCAATGGACATCACAATTTTGACGAGAACGACACCTCAGCTAGCTGTTCCTTCTCCTAACTTCCCCATCGTTCTAATGCGAGGACTTAAAGCCACGACAAATCTAATGCGCATTAGCTCCTACAAAAACCGCGGGTCTTCAGTGGCACCAGGGCAGGAATCTATGAATCTACAATGCCAGTCATGAGTTTGTGGCTACGACTATTAGGCTTTTTAGGTTCGGAAAGTAAACACTTATAAAAAGCAAAGAGAGTTATAATTATTAGGGACAAATTAAATTCTTATTTTATTTATTTTTTTATTATAACAATGTAATTTAAGAAATCGGAATAAACGACAAATTTCATTATGAATACAATTAATATGATATTTAAAATCATGTTCGGGCCATGGGTAGCCTAGTGGTTAGAGCACCGGACTCCGGACCGGAAGGCCTGGGTTCGATGCCCATACCGCGAAATACCCTCCGAGTACACGCGGAGCACGTTCTCGTTAAATCAATGGGTCCGAAAGTCTTGTGGGCTGATTCACAAGTGCAGGAAACTGGAGAAAATTTCCCTCCAATTCAGTCTCATGCCTAAATTGTGGAGGTGGAGATAGGTGGTGTCGCCATCTATCGTTCCTTCGGGAAGGCCTCTGACCACCCCCAGAGTGTTCGCCCTCTAAATTGGGGTGGAATCGGGCCAAATCGTACTGTCACCTGTATGGTGTTCAAAGCTACGGCTAACGACAGGCGTCACTTAGCCCTTTACCATGATGAATTTCATGGGCCTTTGCCGATCAGGTGGCATTAGTAACAACAAAATCATGTTTGTCGATCATGTAGTTCATATACGTAAACAAACACACCATTTTTGAGTTAAAGATATACATGTACATATACCAGGTGATCTAAAATTCAGGACGAACTTAAAAAATGAATAATTCGAAAACGAATCAAGATACAAAGATACAGTTTGCACCAAACGGATGGAAAAGAAACCGGGTTTTGTGTGGCAAAGAAAAAAATAGTAACGTTGGTGACCAACAGATGGCGCTGTCGGAAATCTGTTGTAGGATTATGCAAAACAACAAACGATATGAAAAGGAACAACTGCCGCAGGTAATGGTAGTTGAAGTTAGTATGCATCGTAATGCTGTCCATAGTTGAGAAAACCATCTTAGCATTAGGAAAGTGTCATTACAGCATTTTGAGTATATTGCTCTATAAAGGGCATGCGAGATAGCAAAGGACCAAAAACGTCTTTTTTATTGAAAAAAATGAAGAAACTTGAAGCTACAGGTTCTTTGTCATCACGTCAAAGAAGTGGGCGTCCCTCAACAGCTCCTGCTGTTGCCATGGCACTGGAGCAAACGGTGCAATCCATGTCGGCAATTGTTGCACATGGTGAGTGCAGTGCTCAAGAAGTTTCGAGGCAGACTGGAGTGTCGTACGGTAGTGCCTGGAGGGCACTGGGAATATAACTTTGAGACGGTATCCCTACAAGTTACAGCTTATCCAATAACTGACACCTCCCGACTTCAGCTCTTGCTGAGATTTTGAATTCAATAAGATGGAAGAGGAGCATGACTGGCTTCACACTGTGATTTGGACAGTTGAAGCGCATTTCACACTCTCTGGCGCTGCTAACACCCACAATTGTCGAGTGTGGACCGCCGAAAATCCACATGCATTTGTTAAAGGAACCTTGCAACAGCCTAAAGTAAGTCTGGTGTGGCTTTACTGCTAATTTCAAAATGGTTCCATTTTTTTTTTTTTTTTTTTGAGGAAGTTACACAGGCGGGTTTCAAAACAGTTTTTATCACTGGTTAACGATATGTAGCACTGTTACAGACCAACATTATTCCTGAAGTGCAAGCTCGACAGGCAGTCCAAAAAGTCACCTTTATGCAAGATGGAGCACCACCTCATATTGCTCTGCTTGTGCAATGCCTGCTACGCTCAACATTTGGAGATGATCGTATTATCAGTCACTACTTTAATCACTCATGGCCTCTAAGATCTCCCGATCTGACACCCTGTGACATTTGGCTGTAGAGACTCTTGAAGTTAAAAGTGTACCGCGACCAACCAGCATTACTAGCAGCACTGAGAGAGGCCATCCACCAAAATATGTCTGCCATAACTCAAAAAATGCAACTAAATGCTGTGAACGGTGTGGCGACTCGTCTCATAGCTGTACTTCTGAGGGATGGACAGCACATTAAACATTTACTGTAGTACTAATTAACTGTAATTAAGCTGACTTGTAAGTTGTCAACACTTTTTCATTTGTAAATCATATTTTGTGAAAAAACATTATAGCTCCATCTGTTGGTCGTCAACACTACTTTTTTTTTCGTTGCCGCACAAAACCCGGTTTCTTTTCCACCCGCTTGGTACAAACCGTATCTTTGTATCTTGATTCGTTTTCGAATTATTCATTTTTAAAGTTTATCCTGATTTTTGGATCATTTGGTATATATATATATAATCTTGTTCAAATTTTCATTTGTTAAAAAAATACTTTCTATTCATCCATTTAAGTTCAAATACATTTTTCTAAACTTGTAGTAGATCAAGCTTGATGTTAATACAGTTTTTTTTTTAAAAAATATTAATACATTAGAGAGAGTTAATATTAATTCATTATTAGTATTAGTATTCATTAACCTAATTAATGAATAAATAGTAACAAACAAAAATAATAGTCCAACACTCTATATAAAAAGGAAAACAACTCGCTTTGTCCCTGTTGTGCAATGGATAACGCGTTGGATTTGTAATTCAAAGGTCGTACGTAGGTTCGAATCCTACCTGGGATGACCTAATTTTTGAGAATGTGATTTATGAATGAATAAATAGTAAAAAAACAAAAGTAATAGTCCAAAACTATACATAGGAAAGGAAATGGATAATTGCTTTCTATTTGTCACTTAATTTTGTGATTATGTCATATGTATATACATATTTATATTAATTGTAACTATTTACTAAAAAGTAAATAAAATTTTACTTTGTTGACCTAAGTAGGAATTGACTTTTTATGTTACTTGACTTTATAATTTTTTTTTCATGTTACATGTTTGCTATTGTCCTTTAAATTAAACCATTTTAAAAATTAGTGCGCGTGCAATCAGGTTTAATTTTCATTCAATAAATTTGAACAACATACACAAAGAGAGGGAAAGGGTATTCGATACGAAAATCGATACAGTTGTACGAATTCATACATTACAATCGCCGAAAATCGGTTGAAATGGGTTTGAAGGAAACTGTGCTTACCACCCCACCTCAAAACGATTTGCATTGATTCGGAGAGGTAAGCACTGGCTTGCGATTAAAGCGTCATTTGATTCCATTCTCGTCTGCGCGGAATGCGACCATTAATCAGTGTCTGAATGGGTAATTAGGAAGAGACGGAGCTGATGATAACTTTCTCAGACACGTTCGACAAGGCCTAACAACCAAATGGCTTCTCGACTTCTGAACCATTTCGTTAATTCTAACAACGAAGTAGTCATTCCAAATCGCTGAGTACAAGAGGCTTTCTTAGAGGTCACTGTTTATTTATTAGAAATAATACAGGGGATTATACTTAATGTTCTCTACTTAGTGCAAATATAAATTATAATTTTTTTTTTTTAAAAAAAAGCAGAAATTAAAAAATACTTTTTTATAGTATGTCGAACTGAAAAGTAAAAAACAATTCTTAATATAAAAATAAAATGATTAACCAGAAAATTAGTGCCATTGTGGTAAAAGCTTGGGGTGCTCGATATGAATTGCTATAATTTTTTCTATTCTGAATTACAGAGTTAGTGTAAAACTGTAATACAAAGTCATCCACGCTTTTGCCACAATGACATCTATTTTCTCGTTAATCATTTTATTCTTATATTAAGAATTATTTTTTAATTTTTGGTTCGACTGACTATAAAAGAGTGTTTGTTACTTTTCAAAACATTGTTTTTATATATATTTTCCTTTTTTAGTTTGATCTACAAAAAAAGCGATTTTTTTTCAGTTTTTTAAACTATTATTTATTAATTGATGAGTTAATCTTAAATGCGTCATTTTTTCATTTGCGTCATACCCATTGGCATCCTATCAGTTTGTTGATACGGCCTGGTTTGTAAAAGATAGGATCAGTTAACACATCCGTCTCTTTTTAACATAAATAGCACTTTTTGTTTGTTGTATTTGTATTATAACCAAGGGCGTCTTCAGTTTAGGGTTGTAACATAATATTTTAGTCGCCACATCTGTAACTAGGAAATCGTTAATCATGATTATCTTGAACAGGCCAATGGAACAAGATTATTAAATTATTGTATTGTCATCGGTCCTTGACATGTGTGAAAAATATCGAATTAATGTGACCTTTTCAAGTGGGTTCAAAAATTTCCTATATGTACAGGTAAAGCTAATAAAGGCGTATTAAAAACGAACTACTGCACAGAATGACTTCAAATTTCAACTGAATATTTATGATGATATGGGAAATGGTATGACACAAGGAAAAATGTTCATTGAAGTTTTCAGTGTTGCTTTGTATGTGATAAGAAGGGGTGGGGGTGACAGGTAAATTCTCGTTCTCGTTTGTTGACCGTAGTTCAAAATCACGAGAGACGTGATTAATAACCCTTCTGTTGCTTAAGAATGCCATGTCAATTAACACTAAATTATTATACTTCATTTAAACTAACAGGTACAAATTCGGATCTAATATTTTTGTAGCTATATTTGCATTTAAAGGGTTAAAAAGGTTTCATACATAGTACTAAAATTCAGTGTATATGTACGCATACTTATTAAGTATAGGGAGATATTAATACTATGTACCAAGTTGTAAGTATTATCGTCTTGAAAATGTAATTATCTTTCTAAATTAAATAAAAATAATAAAAAAACCTAATATATGTTCTTATGAGCACTGTTATTTATAAGAACGAATGTTCGTGAGTCGAGAAAAGAATATATTCAAAAATGGAAAGCACTTATTATAAACATGAGTTTTGAAGATAGCATCTAAAACTTTCAAAATGTGTAACCCAATTTTTTAGTCATAATTTTCAACGTGCCCTCTTCATACAATAACAATGCATTGAATTCAATAATCATGTACTTTGATTAAATCCTTAATACGAATTTAATTATAAACCATACAAATTAACAAGATAAGTATTGAATTTTGTGGGGTTTTTTTATGATAGCCCACACATGTGTGGTCAGTAGTAATTATTAAACTTGCTCTTAATTTTGTATTTTATGAATTAATTATCAAATAGATTGTGTACTGATATATTTTGAAGTATATTGTGTCAGAGAAAATGTGTATTTAGTTTTTTTTATTATGACCGAATGTATTTTTTGCTATGATTTCTTTCAATAGATTAATATACAGTCGAACCTCTATAATGCTAATTTTTCTCTATAGCGAACCTTTTCCTGGAACCAAGAACATTTTATGATTTTCTTCGTAAAATAACCTTTCTATAGCGAAGTGCATTTTCTATATAAATAACTTTTTCTTTTGTGGTTCAATATTTGTTCGTTCTATTTTTAAAGTATTTCTGGACATTTCAAGTTATTCTCTCTTTTAACACATTTTATAGTGGTCATAAATATTGAAATGGTTTTTATTAGGTGCCTAATTCACCTAGAGCAACATAATTCTGGGCGTTTCATCCAAGCACCTCTGATCCCCATTGTCCAGTTCACTGTAAACATCTTCGATATCCCTTTTACTCTCAGTGGAGTTGTCTCATGTCCTTGAACTAGTCTCCGTTCATTTGTAGTGTTGATCAGAAGTAACTTTGATTCTTGTAACCAGGTTTCCTAGTTAAAACTTAAGTGCTTCAGCATCAAAGAAACACATTTAATTCTTCAAGAAGTGGATAAAGGCCTCAAGAAAATTTCCTTTCAATTTTCCTTTCTTTTGATAGTTAAGATATATAAAATAAATAGATATTAATTTACAAAAAGCTATGATTAATTACTTATTTTAATGTATAGTGTTTACGAACTTAAAATTTGTTTTATGTGGTTTTTAAGGTATATTGAAAGGGGAAACTCCATCTAACGAATTTTTCCCATAACGAACTTTTTTTCGGGATTTAGCGACTTCATCATATAGTCCGACTGTATATATTTTTTTAAAAATAATATCTTATTTTGAACTTTACGATTTGCTCCCACCCTCCTCGCAGGATTACAATCCCCCTAGGTGGGCGTCCCACTGTGTATGAGAAATTCTTCATTAAATAATAGACTTCGTCAGTGAATTATAACTTTTTAGCATGTTTTTAATTTGATAAGATCATAATAAATGACGATTGATAAAATATTTATTGACATGGCAATTTGAAACAACAAGAATACGATTGGTGGTGGATCTCTAAATTGTAATTTTTAATTTCAGTCAAGTGAGACGAGGACGAAACTTCAGTTGGCACCTCATTCTCCAATCTTTCTCACCACTCCAACGTGAGAACTTGGAGCCTCTAAAAATTGTACGTACTTAAACCCGTTTTAGTGCCATTCAGAATTGTATGTCCAGATTCAACTGATTCAAACCTGTCTCGATTCAACTACCCTAATCACTCGGTTTCCACGATAGATAATTTATTGGTGAAAAAGGCAGATTTTACATGGAAGTTAGACAAAAAAGGGACACAATTTCATTTATAAACATTTTTAGAAACACATAAAATATCACAAGTTTCTGAACTTATAATAACTTGCTATATACATGAATATAAGGATTTTAATGACTGAAAATCAGACACATATTACAAACTATTTCGGGGTGAGGCATATTAATTCCCGTAATTATCTAGTAACTCCGGAGCCAGTGTAATAGTTTTCAATTTGCTATCTAAACCTTCGCCTGCAGTGCCTTAATGAGCGACATTAGGTTACGAAACTCAGATAAGTAGAGTAATTCCTTTTCGGATAGAATCAATATAAATTCCTTTAGATTTGCTCAAGAACATCATGGAAAGAAATTAGACCAAATAATGCTGATGTGTTTATTTTGAGAAAATGCTACCATTTTGATAATATCCTTCACTGTCATTAATATAATTTACTATTTTCAGATGAAATTTTTTTCGATTGTTTTATGGCCATTTTTATTTATTTATTTATTAACTTGGGAGTTTTAATTAGCTTTAAAATATTTGGACCAGCAGTAATGCACATTGATATAAATTATAATAAAATGTATAAAAATTAAACGTTTGTAAAGATAATCCCAATATTTTTTCTAAAGCTTATAAAAATTGTTTTGTTTTATTTTTTCAAATAACTGAAAACAATTGAGCAAATAATTTTTTATTAAAAAACCAGTAACTACAATTATCTCAATTTTTTTTTTCAATGAGGCTGCATTTTAGCAACTTAACCTTTGCAGACATGGCATGTCCCCAAACGTGTGAGCCATTTCATGGAGGCACCATCTAGTGGCAGCTTCATTATTAAATCTTGACGAGTGAAATAAGCTCTCATCGGATGCTAAATATTGCCTTCGATTTAATTTTACCAGAGTCAAATCGAGTCACGAGTGCCAAATTGATATGCTCAAGGTTTATTTTACATTCCACATAATCATATGAGATACGTGCCTACCATTTTCGCATCCAAAAAATCTATCAACTACAGCCTGGTTCGAACCAGCAACCTTAGGATTACGAAGCAGGATCGCTACATCTAAGCCACCAGGGCCATTTCAAACTTCAGTGTTATTTTGGGGAAATGCCCTTTTTTGGAAAAAAAAATTGATGGAACTACATTATAGAAATAAATTCCAGGGAGTTTCAGT